CAATCGAAATAATAAGTTACGCCACCCCACCAACACCCCCCCCCCCCCCCATAAATCAAATACCCAACCCCGTATTCCACCCACTCTCCCCAGACGTTTTCCCTGTAAGCTGTGGTCATTGAAACAGTTTAATTCGTAATCGTTTTATCAATTTGGCGAACATTTCATTATAATATTCTAATACTAAGATAAAGTGGCACAACTCGGTTTTAAGATGTTTTTTAAAAATATGTTTACCTAGGGTGGGGGGGGGGGTTCTATTGCGAAAAACTCACAACATTTTTTTTAAAACATCTTAAAACCGAGTTGTGCCACTTTATCTTAGTATAAGAGTACTATCACAGGAAAAAAAGGGAAAAAATTTGCATGGAATTTCTTAATACTTTTATGTATTATGCTAATCAGTTTACAATTCAATTAAATGTAATGTAATCATTTTAGATATATATGAGTAAATCGTATACATATAGTAATATTTATATACACATAAAAGATTTTAGTATACAGTTGTAGTTTTGTTTTTGTTAATTTTTTTGCAATATAATATTATACAGAATTTAATACAATTTTCGACCATCTCAGTTTCAAAAGTGATTTTTAATTGCTAACTTTAAATTAGCGTGAAATCGCATAAAGACAAAGTTAATATGTCTTGCTCTCCCCAACTAATCACAACAACAGTTCAAACCACCTTTACTGACCACATTTATCACGCTCATTACATAACAATGCCTAGGATCAAAAGAGAAAGCCGACACAGTACAAAGGCTCTGATTGACGCAAAACGTAAACAAAACACAATATGGTTGGACGAAGCCGACAGAGGAGAAGCCAACCAAGGAAAGGCCTACAGCAAAACACATGCAAACACAATGATTAGACCAAATTTATTATATAACGAGCCGACCGGCGGCGTATCATACGCCGCTATTTAGTTGATTTATTTTCTACATTTCAGTAATTTATAATTTGTGAATTCGACAGTACCAATGCTGCCACTGAAAATATTTGCTTTAAAACACTAACCCCCTCCTTTCCCCTAACCCCGACCCTACACTCCTCTTAGTTACCTCCTGTAAGTTTAAAATCGGTTCAAACTAAATTATCTGCCCCTAATAGCCGTCACTAAACCAGGCTCTACGATTTGTAAACATTAACGTGACCACAGCTCACCAGACCATGTGGGGGTGGGGTGGGGGTGGTAGTGATAGGGATAGAGAGAAAGAGAGGGGACTGCAAGGAGGCGCTAGCAGCTTGTTTTCTAGCGTCTCCCAGAAGAGAATTATATATAGAGATAATTTTCCACCGCGTATTTAACAAACGTTGACGTTGCTATGTACATTATCTTACAGTATTTTAACTTGTTATTGTTATAAACCATAATGCTGTCTAAGTTTACAAATATGCTAACGAAAAAAAATACCAATCACACTAATTGACACCCATAATTTTTAAAATTATGAACAATTAAATCAAAATATTACTTAGCAGCGGCTGTATGTATTTTTTAACTATTTGGGCTTTAAAACATTATCAGTAGGTGGTTAAGGACGATAACCCCCCCCCCCCACCCTCCAAAGGTGGGCCGCCAGCATAGTTAGATTAAAATTAAACACAATAGCCTAGTCGCGTTTAGAAAAACCATGCGGTTTGGTGATATTGGGGGGGGGGGGGTGGTATTATCCATTGGAATCAAACAAAATTAAACCCGCTGTAAGCTGGTATAAAATGTTTCGCAACATCCCTTCCCCCCCCCCCCCCCCCCCCCCCCACACATGTATTTTGGTTTTTTCATACTGGCAGGGTTTCTGGCCTATTTATTACATAATATGTCCTTGAACTCAAGATTCAATAGGCCAGCGAGCCCGACGAATGTTAGGTAATGTCCAGACAGACGTCTAGCGAGATTCCGCGGGCTACGTTGATCCAACAATGTGCGAATAGGGGCGGGGTGAAAAGGTGCTAAGTTTAAATGGTGGCGAACGATCGTGACGCGTGGGTAATTTTTGCGAATATGGGGAAATAATTCTACCATGTCTGTCGGTCAGAATTAAAGCTCCACCCATAGCAAGAAAAAACGAACTATTCATTGGTTAGGAATATCAGTAATCGTGGTTTCGGTTTAAAGATTGGCTATTTTATAGTGACCAATACTAAAACAAATTCATAGCACGTGACTATAAATGATCGGCCTTGTTTTGCGAATACTTTCCCTGATCATTAAATTATTGCTGTCATGATTTTTACTGCTCTATAGGAATATTATTCGGACTCATTATCTTTTCCGTTCGTGTTCAAGACACATGGGGCATACTAAGTTACGCATCTTGGCTATTTCTTTTAATGTTGTGATCAGTGTGTTAGTGTTCTAAGTACATGAATTAAAATTATTCTCACTCATCATCATCTTTTCCGTTTGTGTATGTGTTTAAGACACATAGGACATACTAAATACTACATCTGTTTTAATTACCTCGGGATACAAGAGGATAAAATGGCCCGTATTACTCGCAGCCGCCTTGATTTTTACACCCTTTTGGTAAGTAAAGCTTTAAATAGATTTTGAAAAAAATATAGCCGCATGTGTATAGAAGCGGTCTTTTGTGTAGATTATATTAAAATTCTACAATTTTAAATATCACCCTATGACGTTAACCCCAAAGTCACCCCACCTAAATTTTGCATATATTTCCCACACCCCCACGCATGCTTATCGCATTTATCTAACCTTCATGTAATAGACATATCGAAATAATTCGCATACTTATCGCAATATGTGCACAACTCACCCCTACCCACACCACCTACATTTTAAGTACACACATTCTTTAGTCAACTCTGAATGCAATGTTTACAACTTTTTTACAATTTTTTTTACTTTGTTTTAGACTTACGGAAATTTAATACATTTAATTTTGTAATAAAAACACACAACTACGTGGCTTTTCGCACCCACTTGCATACATAATGCATTACGTGCACAAATCACCCCTATCCACACCATCACTATTTTAAGTACAACGTTCTTTAATCAAAACTTAGCGTAATGTTTACAATTATTTTTTTTTTTTTTTTAAATATTTTTTTTTTACATTTTTATAATGTCGTAAAGCTATATAATATCAGGATCGCGTAAGTTAGGAAGGTTTTCTAAAATACATATATGTAACGAAGTATAAAAGTGCCAAATATCTATATCAGACAAGGTTTCAAAGTATTTCATCATATAGCTTGTATACTTCCCCGCGATTGTTCCGTTAGAGAACTTATCTGCCTCACTTCGACAAGTTACAACGTCGTACTGCCTAACTTACTAATGTCTGTATATATATATATATATATATATATATATATATATATATATATATATATAGGCATATATATATATATGTATGTATATATATATATATATATATATATATATATATATATATATATATATATATATATATATATATATATATATATATATATATATATATATATATATATACTTATAACATGTGAATAAATTTGGTTACATTTGTCTTTTGGGTCACCATATTCATAGCTCGAGTTTAGAACATGTTAGTGTGTACGATACAAGCAAGTCGTAATATTTCTTTATCTTTTCAACTCTAATTTTTTTATTTTTTTTACATTTCCTTCAATTATTGGATTTTTTTTCATTACTAAACAATACAAATAAAGACTTTAAAAAGTTACATGTAATGTGAATTTTGCTGACATGTAAAAAAAATAACAAACCATGCAACATATTCAAAAGTAAAATAAGGGGTTTCAGTATGACATCAGCCCTCCATACCTGACCTGACATTGCTCTCAACACTCATGACACCAAGATTTAATAAACACGTAAACTCTACTGTATCTGACTCAAACTGGATTGACGAAAGTTGTTTTTAAAGTGTTGAAGTCCTGCTCACAAGAAAACGAGACACGCAGTGCTATAATCTTAATCGTGTCTTGTACAAGAAAAGAATGTTAGAAGCAAAGACGTGTTTAGGAAGGTCTCTAGTGATCTTGTATTTCTCTAAGTGCTGCTATGTTTTGGGCGACTCTCGTCTCCCCAGTCGAGATCTTCACCCGATGACAGAGTGCAAGTCCGAGTCAGTAAAGGTAGTTCACAAGTTGATCTCTTTATCCAGACGACGATTCCCTACCCACCCCCCCCCCTCCCCGGCCCAAGTGCGGCAAGGCGCCACCTAATCGTCTAGAGACTGGAACTAGAATGTTCCTGAACATTCACGCGATGCAATTTGTCCATCTGAAACACGGATGTCCGGCTGCCGGTCTATCTTCGCTTGTCCGGCACGGTCAAAGAGCAATTAATTAGATTACAGAGCCGGTCTTGTGTGGGGAGGTGGCGGGCTGGGGGGGGGGGGGACAACATTAATCGGGGAAAACTTTTGTTTATAAATAGAATTCCTTTAAACGATAAACACTGATTCAACATAATATTAAGGGAAGGGGTGGGTCACTTGTTTATTTCTTGAGAAGTGGATTGAAGAAAGAATACGTGTGGAGAACATACGTCTGTGGCACCCTAGCATTTACTTTACAGGGTGGGGGTGGAGGTTTACGGTACAGGATAGTAGGGCGGGATGGGCATCGGAATATGGTGGGAGAGATGTGTTGTATCAACATCAACATTTTAATTGCAGGGTGAGGCGGATAAATATATATATATATATATATATATATATATATATATATATATATATATATATAGGGCGGACCCAAAACATTTCAGACAAGAGCCGAGCTGAAGCTTAATTAATTTAATTAATCAAACCCTGTTTTAACGCTGTCTACTTATTTTAAAATAACAATTTTATAGATCTCTCCTAAATCTGAAAGTTTCTCATGGCCGATGCTATGATTATTACCGTACAGTTTACAATAGTTTTATTTCTGTCGACGCGTGCGCAAAATGTGAAAAATGTGCACACCACATATAGTGTTGCGCTGCCTTTCATCGGGAGTGAAAGGAAGTCCCACTCCATCGAATCGTTCAAAATGACCCATCGCATAACTTTTTCTTTTCCAAAGGATTCGGTTGAACCGTTTTTATTTTTCGTAAGTATAGATCTACGTCTAAATCCAATAGATTTAGATCTAACGGACTGGGGTGGTTAATTAAGCTGATGTAGTGTATTTTCAGCGGTGTCATTGTGATGATAACTAGATTCTAGATTTTAGATCTAAAATTAAAATGAACACTACTGGTAATGGTTTTGAAGTTGCCATTAATTATTTTTTAAAATCGTATGCGGCGTTATTTAAATACACGTAAACTAATTATAATAACTTAATTGTGTGGGTTTTATCAGACTTCATAAAACGCAAGAGTTATTTTTAGTATTTTAGGTAATTAAAACAAATTGTTTTTAAAAAAAAAGAAAAACAATTCATATTTTTATTAAAAATTTAATTTGACGTAACTAGGGCGTGTGGTTTTAACAAGTGTAGTGTAAATATTCTAAGAATAAATATTCTAAGAATATTTATTGGCAAAGTTTTGAGTACACAATTAAGTGGGTTTCTTTTCAACCAATCAAAGTTTGTCGTCAGCTTAAAATTTCGTCTTGGTCTTAGCAATTAGAAATGTAGCCTTAAACGCACACAAAAAAATATGTGCAAGTTCTCTAAATTTGCAACCTTTATAACATTGGGCCTTGAAATTTTAAAAACTCTTGACATCATCCGAGGTTTTTTTTTTTTTTTTTTTTTTTTATTACGGGCGCTTTGAAAGCTATAATTTAGTAGCCGCCTCGGCTAGTCTGTCCATTCGGGCGTTTGTCGCATTCGGGCAAGTGTCTATTCGGGAAAACGTCCGGCTCCCGTGTGCTCAATATGGCGGATTGTAGAGCAGACAAATTGTGACGTTCTGGCATTTGTCCCATTCAGGCTTACGTCTACTCTTACATTTGTCTTATTTCGGCATTTTTCGCATTCGGTCTGCGTGAAAATTGCGACCGGGAAATGTTTTCGGGCTATTGTCGTAGACCTAAAGTTTACCTGTAATTACTGAATTCCACAAGTATGACATATGTTATAGATAATTTACAAGTATCACATATCTTATAGATAATTTACAAATATCACATATGTTATTGATAATCCACAAGTATGACATATGTTATATATAATCCACAAGTATGATATTTGTTATAGATAATCCACAAGTATGATATATGTTATAGATAATCCACAAGTATGACATATGTTATAGATAATCCACAAGTATAACATATGTTATAAATAATCCACAAGTATGACATATGTTATAGATGAGACTTCTATCGAGATGTATGCACCATTTTCTTATAATCCAACCAAGTACCATGGATACACAATTGGTCACCACATCTCTCCCCATTACGTCTCACCCTTTCAATGTCACCAAACGGGTTAAATAAAAATGTTAAGGAAAACAAAAACTTGAATGCTTTAAAAAATGGAATATATATATATATATATATATATATATATATATATATATATATATATATATATATATATATATATATATATATATATATATATATATATATATATATATATATATATATAATTTCCAGATTTTGCTATGTATAGCATGGAGATTGATTAAAGACGAATTGTGGACATGGGTGAGTAAAAAAATAGTTTAACATTCAATTTAACGGAGTGAGATTTATATTTATAATGACAGGACAAATGGTCTCTGGACAAAATATCTCAGGGCAGAGTGACAGATATATATGTTACGGTTAAAATCCGAAGTGCGGCCAAAGCACGCATTGGCCGGCCAATGTGTGCATTGGCCGGCTCTTTTGGCGAAAGCCCGAAGAGCTTAGCACTGATAGCGTGACACTGACCGTGACATACTGGCCAAAGTCCGAAGACCTTAAACTTTACAGCGTAATTCGTACATTGGCCGGCCAGTGCGCGTACTGGCTGGGATGCCCTGGCCAATGTCCTATCTAGACTGAGATCGCGTTTTCGTTATTCTGGGTATGGCTTATTGTGACTAACATATTGTTTGGCTCTTGTTTGTATAGCATTCTATATGCAATGCGACATGGACCAAAAGGGTCGTGAGACAAAGAGACAGACATACCAGATGGCTGTCAAAATAAAATAATCCAAATCCATGTTAGTTTCCATATATGAGCTACAACTGTATGTGACAGCCTCTCCATCATGACGAGGCGAGACAATCATCAAAGAACAAAATCAAAGACAGTCGGCGTCACCGACCACGTGCAACAAGACGGAACGTTCAAAAGACTTTGCCGGGTTCGATGCAACCCTTGTAAGTTGAACAGTAGTGTCCAAGCGACTTGTGTTGATGTGGACGCCAGAAACCATATTTCGCCAACAAAAGGGGAATACCAAATGAAGCAGACCGATCACCGCGTCTTGACTGTACCTCTCATTGTCGACTGTTGGCAATGAGGAAAAATCACTACGCACCATGGCATCTTCATCAAGGCTACACTCGCTGCAATTACACAACCAAGTGCTCAACAAATCGCTGCTAGCGTAAAAATAACAAACTACTATGTAATTTTAAATGCCATAAAAGTTCAACTTACTGTAACAAGTGATAATATTGATTGAGACTATAGTACTATAAAATAATTTGTCACCTCTAGCCAGATGATCTTCTAATTCGGACTTTGGAAGGTCCACCATGACCAGTACGTTGACTGGCCGGACAAAGGCCAAAATGAAGTTAAGTTTTGGACTTTGACCGGTCAATGGGAGGCGATGCATTGACCGGCCAACGCTTGCTTTGTCCGACTTCGGGGCTTGACCGTAATATATATATATATATATATATATATATATATATATATATATATATATATATATATATATATATATATATATATATATATATATATATATATATATATACATATATATATATATATATATTCATCAACTTTTCATCAATTTTCAGGTTAATGACATAATTCGCGTTTGGCTAGTTACGATGTACACGGTGTTGGTCTTCTCCCTGGTGTCACGTGTTAATGTCACATGGACCACTGAGACCACTTAGTAATCTTTTAAGTGAATGTAAGTCATTTGTTGTATCCTGCTGTCTTTGTGTTCATTCTTTTAAGTGAATGTAAGTCATTTGTATCCTGCAGTCTTTGTGTTCATTCTTTTAAGTGAATGTAAGTCATTTGTATCCTGCTGTCTTTTAAGTGAATGTAAGTCATTTGTATCCTGCTGTCTTTTAAGTGAATGTAAGTCATTTGTATCCTGCAGTCTTTGTGTTCATTCTTTTAGGTGAATGTAAGTCATTTGTATCCTGCTGTCTTTTAAGTGAATGTAAGTCATTTGTATCCTGCTGTCTTTTAAGTGAATGTAAGTCATTTGTATCCTGCTGTCTTTGTGTTCATTGCACGGCGTATTCAAATGGTAGAGCGCGCCATCACTGAGCTAGAAGTCACGTGGTTGATCCCGAGCACTGTTCGCTCTATGAAATATTGGTACCTGACTTTCAGTGTTTCTTCCAGGCATCTCTTAGGTGGGGCTAAGACCCCACCCCACCCCCCCCCCCCCCCCTCCGAAGAGAATCTACCGCCCCTCGAACGAAATGGACTTTATATAGAAAATATTTACTTTTAACATGGTCCGCCCCCCCCCCCCCCGGAATTTTAGTCCTTCCCCCCCCTCCCCCTAGAACAGGGGTCTCCAAACTACGGCCCGCGGGCCGGATGCGGCGATCTTTCAGTCCACGGAAAAACGTTAGTTGGTGATGGCTGAGGAACTTTGCACAGAAAAATCAAAGACATGCCTGGAACTAACTGGCCCCCGAACTGAAATTTGATAGTCAAAGCGGCCCTCGGACTGAAAAGTTTGGAGACCCCTGCCCTAGAAGAAAAAAGTCTGGAAGACACACTTCTGACTTTATTGAGCAGCAACAAAAACCGCTAGTTATATCCCTGCCCCATCTGTAAAGGTCAACAGGTCAACTCTACACCATCAGCTATCACTTACTTCATGAAGCAATACGTATCTTTCTTGAGAAGACTGCTCTAAGTAACACACTCATACAAACATAGACGTTCAATACATCATCACACACTTGAACTTGTTGAGTTTTCATGTATTTGACAAGACCCCCTCCTTCACTGCAGGTAGAGCCTATCACCGTGTTCTAAACACCCTGACGTCATGACGTCCTAAGTCAAAGCCCTGTCGGTGGATTTACATGAAAAATAGATGAATAAACAATGCTAAAGGTTTTTTTTAGATGTTGTGTTGTTGTTATGTAAAGGGAGTACCGAGAGGTGATCGTATTCATTCATCCGTGCATCCTCGTTGGGACAAGGAGGTTTACCAAACCTGAGCAAACCAATTACACACATAAAGAGTTCATTATTATTAAACTAAAAATGAAACTTGTTAACCCATAGTTGAATACATTTATTTACATATATTAGACGATACGATAGTTTACAGGGTTAATATATAAGAAACGTACAACCATTTTCTACCACCACTCCACACTTTGAGTACCGGAACCCTCGGGCAGATGAGGCTCGTTAGCTGGGGACGACCACTCTTCTAGGAGAGACAAAGCCAAAATTAAACAACTGCTGCCTTGTAGTTTGTTCTTGGTTGGACAAAGGCTATGGAAGCAAATCCAAAAAAGAAAAGCAGGCTGAAATCGGAGTAAATGGCCTCAATGGTGCATAACCAGTTGACACGTATATTTAATTGAGTTGGAGGGGATCCCTTCCAACACTAAAATTAAGAACGAAGAAGAAGAAAGAAATACCGGTACTCACAAACAACCCAGCCAGATAGACAGCAACATGACAGGAACGGGCAACAGAACAGCTTTTTGCTGACAGCCTAGGGTGGGGATGGGGGGCACAATGCGTTTATGACGGGTTGCATCAGACTTGCTCATTAGGCAAGGCTGTAGAAGGGGGACGGGCATTGAATGGGGTACCAACCAACAGTTATTTAAACGTGTATTCTACTGCAGCATGCTACCGATGATCTGTATCAACAGGGTAGCAGTACCAGGTAGCTATGGCAACAACAGAGCTTGAATACGATCTCTGTGAGTGAATGGTTTACACTGCTGTTCCTATTCGAGTTGGAGAGTATTAGATTGCTTCTTCTGTATGCCATTATGAACCTTGCAAACTTTAAACCGGTTGGAAAATTAAATCATACGGCATAGATTTAAATAAATAAGTGAACTCTCCGCCCCAGATGACTCCTATTGTTGTGGCGAACTCTTTAAAAATTGCCCAGTTTCATAGTTCATTAAGTTTTATAACTCACTAACATAACACATTGTCTTAACTGATATTGTTTCTCTTTACAAGAAAATGATTAAACATAGAAGCAAAAAAATACTGTTTAGAACTACTTGTGCTGATCTAGAATTTCTCTAAGTGCTGCTATGTTTTGGGCGACTCTCGTCTCCCCAGTCGAGATCTTCACCCGATGACAGAGTGCAAGTCCGAGTCAGCAAAGGTAGTTCACAAGTTGATCTCTTTATCCAGACGACGATTCCTCCCCTCCACCTCCACCTCCCCTCCCCCACCCCCGGCCCAAGGGCTGCATGGCACCACCTAATCGTCTAGAGACTGGAACAAGAATGTTCCTGAAAATTCACGCGATGCAATTTGTCCATCTGAAACACGGATGTCCGGCTGCCGGTCTGTCCTCACTTGTCCGGCACGGTCAAAGAGCAATTAATTAGATTACAGAGCCGGCCTTGTGTGGGGAGGTGGCGGGGGGTGTAGGGGTAACAAAGGCAGACGTGATTCAGCTTCCGAGTCTAGGTGTAAAATGTATCGGGAAAAAAACATTTTGTTTACAAACAGGATAGCTTTGAACTATAAACAACTATTTTTTTTTATTCTTGTGCACTTGGTGGAAATGTAAACAAAAATGATCGTAGAAATATTTCTCTGGTTCAAGGGAAAGAAGAAAGCTTAGAACTTGCGGCACCCTAGCATTTCCAGGGGGTGGGGCTGCAGGTAGGACGATGGTTGTGCGGGGATGGGTATCGGGTGGTGGGTGAGGTAGGGTGGGGGTTGGGTAGTGGCATGTTCAGCCTTCTTGTTGTATAACACTGTTTTATGTATCCTAATTAACACCCCCACATCCCCACCCCCACCCCACGTTCTTCCAGCCTTATCTAACTTCCCAGGTTACCTTGGCCTAAAACATCTCCTTGTTACCGAGCCTGCTTATTGAATTATACCCCGCCGCCACCGCCCTACCCCCACCTCCCTTCATTAAATCGGGTGCACTTAATGTCTTTGTTTGCCTGGACATGGGGTTCAAGAAAAAAAACCGCAGCAGACGCCCCTGTCCGTAAAAAAATCATCCTGTCTCCAGGAGCCGTTGATAACAGATGCATCATTACGGCACGGTCATACAGGTGAGTGTAAGATAGACCAGGCTCGTTGCCAGGGGCGTTGACAGGTTTCCTTAATTGGGGTGGGGGGGGGGGGCGAGAGGCAACAAATAACGGTAAAATGTAACCGCTTCATTCGGTTAAATTTTAATTTTATCTAAATGAAAAATATATCTTTTAAATGTACAAACGTCCTTAAAGAGGGGTCTAAGATGGATTCGGGGGTCCGCTTCTAACGCCCCCACCCCCTACCCAAAAGTATCCACGCCTCTGCCCATTCCTCTAGTGATAGAAACTAACAAGACGGTCTCGCCAATTTTTTCCTGTCTGGACACAAGGACGCCCGGCTAGCCCCCGGCCCCAGTTTCAAATTTATGTCTATGAAAAAAATGTGCAAGCAGCATTAAAAGGTTGATAAAAAGCTCACGAGGTTTTTTTTTTTTTTTTTGCGTTATCATTTTAACTCAAAATTTGATTAGGGCGTGTAATTATCTTAATGCTTTCAATAAGCAAGGGCGTCTCCGCTATCATTTTTATGCACCTATGTCGGCTAAAACTGAAGGGAGGTGGGGAGAGACTGTATTAGATGGATGAACGATATTGTTTGGGGAGAGGGGAGTCTTTGTTGTTTCCATAAACCAAGCCTACTCTGAAGTAACAAAAACACGTTTTGAAGTTATTCCGGGATTACTAGCACGAGCAATAATTAACTAATCCTGGATTAATAGCACGAGCAATATTTAACTAATCCTGGATTACTAGCACGAGCAATATTTAACTAATCCTGGATTAATAGCACGAGCAATATTTAACTTATCCGGGATTACTAGCACGAGCAATATTTAACTAATCCTGGATTAATAGCACGAGCAATATTTAACTAATCCTGGATTACTAGCACGAGCAATATTTAACTAATCCGGGATTAATAGCACGAGCAATATTTAACTAATCCTGGATTACTAGCACGAGCAATATTTAACTAATCTGGGATTAATAGCACGAGCAATATTTAACTAATCCTGGATTACTAGCACGAGCAATATTCCCGGGACTGGTCCACAGTTCGGGGTCAGCCTATCATGCAAATTTAGGGCATATTCCTTCATGAGTAAATGTTTCTTTTTTTTAAATTGTGCTTATGTTTATTCCAAGTCTCGTACAACTGTGTATTCTGGTGTGGTTTAAGTTGATGTTTTATCAAAGTATGGCTTAGTATTAAAGAGAACTTACAGATTTAAGGGCGCATTGATTGCAGTCACTACAGTCTAGAAGAGTTTTCTTACGCTACAGGTTTTATACTAGACCACACGCTAAATGTGTTGTTGAATGCAGGTTTTACAGCAGTCTTAACATACAGTATGTGCTTGTTGAATGAAGGTTTTGTAGCAATACAAACATATAGTATGTATTTTTAGAATAATTCTCTCCCTTGACCGTAGTTTACTTAAGTTCTCTCCCCTGGTATATGCGAAATTAAATCTTTTCCCCCTGATACAAGCGTGACATACCCATAAGTTTGACATAACACTAGATAAATATGCCTGGCGTGACGCTAGATTACATGTCTCACATTTGTTTATTTCCTCATTCACCTCCCACTCCCCCCCCCCTCCCCACCCCCCTTACACCCTTCACGCGTGAGGTAAGAAACGGAAAACCCCGACACATGAAATTCAAAGCGAGGTCTAAGGGAGGTAATTAACTTTTGGTTCCGGGTCAGACGACACGCGCGCAGACGTATGTGGGAGGACGACACGTATGTCGGTCGCCCACAGGAGCGACCCCTGGTTCGGATCAAATATTGGTTCGTTATTTTATTCTCCACCCCGCACCTCCGTCTCCCCCCCCCCCCCACGGGCTTATCATGACAACGGCTTTGCACGCGCTGCTCCCTTTACGGTCAACCCAACTCTGGGGTCAGAGGTCAGACAAACCAGGTTAAACGGTTCCTCTCCCGTGTCATTGTTCCTAAATATCCTCAATATCCTAAATATATTAAATGTCCTCAATATCCTAAATATCAAATATCCAAAATGTCCTAAATATACTAAATATGCCCAATATCCTCAATAAACTCAACATCCTTAAAATCCATAAAATCCTGAATATCGTACATGTCCTAATATCCTAAATATCCTGAATATCCTCAAAATCCTCAAAATCCTTAATATCCTATACATCCTAAGTATCCTAAATATCCTAAATATCCTGAATATCCTATCCTAAATATCCTGAATAGCCTATCCTAAATATCCTGAATATCCTATTTCTTTATCCACTCATCAATCCCCTTCCCCGGACCGATCTGTCTAGAAAAGAAAAAAAAACCCACCCCATCCATCTACCCCTCACCCGTGGAACAGACCAGAATATCGTCTCTCTACCCCACACCTACCCCCTCTTTTCCTCTCCCCACCCCAGTCGAACCACCCCATCCCGCACCCCCATCACTAATTTATGGCGGCCCGGGTTAATCCAACGCCGTTACGTGTGTGCCGCTGGTATTACGTCATGGGATGAGTAAGTCACTCGGACACCGTGTACTCACATGCGGCACCCATGCACGTGCCGAGCGCGTCAGCTGACCTTCATGACCGAACATGCGGGGTCATTGGTGAGCGGTCCACTCACGTGACCACTAACACGACAGTCTAGGACCGACACTGAATATTGTTCATGAGCCTACTCAGCTATAACAAGTACCTAGCGTATATCCGGCTGTGCATTTTGTTGGCCGTATAATCCATTTAGATCACTTACCAGCTATCTCAAATTAACTCTACCTCACCTACTAATTGGAATTTAAGTGTAACGATCTAGCACGTATGTCTTATGTCATAAATGGCCATGTTAAACAAATCTGCATGAACTAAAATCT